GTTATTCACGGAGGACAAGAACCTGAAGAAGCAAACAAGCCAGAGATACACAGCTGTGGCTGCATATAGCTCCTTCTACTGTGGCAACCCTGTCTCCTGCTATGGAGAGAAACTTAAAATCAAGATAATCTTGCAGCAGTCATCAGGCCCCAGCAAAGATGGAGCGGGAGTTTCCTCTCCATCACAAGTCATATGAAAAACAGTTTCAATGAAGAAAGTCCTTTCAGAGACATTTCTCCAAGATAAAGCAGTGTTTTACTGCTTTCTCTCCATGCTTGCTTCTGGCTACTAAGTGTCTGAGATATATTTCATGCTCTAATTTACACTGCAAGGATAATGAAATTAGAATACTTATCAGATTCCAGGAATCTAGCAGATCAATAAATTCAATTACATGACTTATACTATGGGACTGCCTACAGGCAAGCCAAATAAAGTGTGAGATGACAGGTACTTCGGCATTCAAAGCCATACAAATCAGAGTTGTCCTTCTGTACCAGGTATAAAATAGAATCTAACATACACAAAAGCCACATATTCTGTGTCTTGCTACAGTCATATAAAACACTTCCATGACTTCAAAACAGTTTTCATCTGCCCCTAGAAAATGTTAATACAGTTTGGCAGCCACACCACATAAAAGATGCATCTGCAGAAAAAAACTGTAATGATGTTCATCACTTTAAAAAAAAAAAAATCCACCAGCCATCAGGCTGAGAGAGAAATTCTGAATATTACTGCAGGGCTGAGACATGTAATACTATTTTTAATATCAACTAAAAAGATATTTACTTAATGACATTTATTAAAGAATTCTAGAGCTCAGGAAGCTCATTTATGGAATCTAACAGCCAGGCATGTTTACCTCAGCTGTCATGGGAGCTGCTGCATGATATAAAAATATTTTAATACTGCCTTTATACTGTATGTATGTATGTCGACATGAACATACACATGTGTGTGTTACCATGCAAGTACGTTCACCAGGCTTGGTCATTTACGTGACAGCATGGCACACCTTATCCACACAACTCCTTTTAAACCTACTCTTTTCGAAATCAAGACAGAAGGAGCAAGAAGACTAATTCTTAAATTGCATTTCTAATCACTTACCAAGCCAAACAGAGATCTTTGAGGTGTCTTTGTTTCTCAGATTGAAACACTCTCCATGAATTGGCTTGACAATCTCAATAATGAATTTAAAGAACATGTACAGCACAAATCTCAGAGCAGCTCCAATGATACACCTCAATGTATGCACGGATTTCTCATTTGTGTTGATTTCTGCACTTCCAATACATTTCTTTAAGGCTACATTTACCCACCTTATACCTGTGCTGATGCCTTGTCAGTTGGGCATTGTCACCTTACTGTGGCTGCTTGCTCAACCTTGAGCCAGCACTACTGTTGGTTAAACAGTGAGGCAGTGTAATAACAGCATACAATAAAGAAAAATACAAAACAACTAGCATAGCAGAAAAAGAAAGCTTCCACATTATTTAATGATCATTTTGCATCAGAGTAAAAGCATCAGGGCTTAGGATATACAAGAGTTTCTTTACCTAAGATAGCTGCATTGCATGAAGTAGGGTTGTTTTTAAATACATTATCATTAAATAAGTCCAAAAGACTGTGCAAGGCACTTATCTGCTGGCTTGAGCAGTTTATTTGGTTTAATTTAAGGCTATTTAAGTAGTTTGAATGAAACTGAAATATGCTTCTCTTGAAACAGGTATCACTGTTTTTATTACATTTAAATGAAAGACAATTCAGATTATATAAGCACAACTTATTGGTTAGAAAAACCTTAAAACAGAGGACATAAAGAAATGGAAATATTCAGTTAGCCCATCCAAGATTCATGTTTAGTAACATTTATAGCTATAGCACTACTCTAAAAGCAGACCAAGTTGGTTTTACAAGATTAAATAAATGCAGGACAATGTTGCCAAAGTAAAGTTATTGCAGTCAGCACTCAGGTGAGAAACATCTCTACGAAATAATGCAAATTTTTTGACTCGGTGCTTAAACTAGTATTTGAATGAGTTCAGTAATGCCTAATCTGTTGTACAAAATAGCTTGTGTCAGTTCACCTGAAAGGTAGCAAGACTAGGCAAGGTGAAGGATAACGGCTTCCAAAATCCAAAAAAGAACGTGTGCTTGACAAACTGGATTACCAAGAAGGTTAAAGAGAAGACAAGAGTTCATCAGAAATAGAAAACAGATTAATTTGTGGTAGCTGACTAAGGAGAACCTCACCAGGGATCTATTCAGCTTCAGGCTAAAATTATTTTGCCAGATATTTAAAAAAATTTACAACATGAGCTGTGAAATACACTCATACAATATGGAGTCTAACATGTGATCCTTCCCAACTGAAAAATATGGAAATCCTACCACCAGTCTCATCCAATACAGAACACAAAGCAGCTGTACATCTCTGTATGGTGTCCTTTTACTCAATAGTGCTGTCTTCATAAATTTCCTGCACAACCATACAATCCCCATTCCTATTTTCTTTACAGAAATAGGCAAGTACGCTAAAGAAATCCTCTTCGTGAATGACCTCCAAATGCAATGTGCTTAACCTTGATTTCTAAGCCCACTGCTCAAACTGTTCTTGTTTGTTTTCCTTTGTCTGACCCTCTTGTTGCTCTGTCACACGCCAGTGCCATTTCCTCTGTCCTTACCCTCTTGCTCAGTTCACGGACTCTTCCCTTCTGATTGAGGAAAACAGCCTCCTACTATTAGGGGAATAGGCAGATGACCTAATGGAGCTCTTCCATCTATAACTCCTATGAACAGTGCCTCTAAGTGCCTCTTTTGTTGGTTTGTTTGTCCGCTCTAGCATTAATTAGGTTTTAACAAGTGCATTGTTTGCTAGAATGGCATAAAGGAAAACATGTTAAAGCAACCAGCTGGATCTAGTTGACCTATAAATTCATCAGCCTGTTTTCTAACTAGATAGTGTCTTATGGCTATGTGATATGGTTATTACTTAAACAGAATAAATGAAAACTCTGAAAGTCACCATGGTTTTATTGTGTTAGGCCTCGTTCTCACTGATATGAGACCTTTTACATCAATCTGGAAACAACAAAGGGTATAAATGCTATTAAATACTTTCCCCTACCACTGTAAAAGGGCTCTGCTGTTTACCACAAGGAAGCTTATGTTCATTACACTTTCTCTAACACTCCTCTTTGCTCATGTGTTCTATAATGCCAGGTACTAAATTAACACTTTAAGATTCTACAGTAAAGTTAACCAGAGATATGGCATGCATTTTTAACTGCATTGTTATACCAGCAAAGACAAGCCTAAGCACAATAAAAATTATTCTACTTGTTTTCCTCAGGGATTCAGTTATACTGGCTATATGTTTTATTCTGACACAGCTGCACAGGTAAAGTACAGATATGATTTAAAGATGCAGAAAATACAGCTTAAAAATTATTAGTGAAATTCCCTGATGGTGGGAACTATACACAGATCCTGCAGCTGATGAACAAGGCAAGTGGCTTGATGCAATTACCAAATGATAATTTGAATAACATGAACGCATACAGAGAAGAAACAAATAAAATCATTGTCTGAAGAGTTACTATGGGTTTAGAACTGGAAGCAGACAATTTAGTGCAGGAGACCAAGGCTTCTGCAGTTTAAATAAATCATTGTAGACTCCTAGGCTAAAAAAAAAAACAAACAACAAAAACCACAGCACAGTGGTGGATTCTAAAATGAGAACTGACATGCTGAAAGACAAGACCTAGTAGAAGAAAACCTGTATTTAAAGGCATACTCCTGTTTGCAAACTCCTTGATAACTGGAACCAGAAGAAACACAAGGTCAGGCCTGAATCACTGGCCTGTGTAAAGGGTCATTTGTAGCTGTTCTCAGAGTGCTTAAACCGTGTCCCATTTAAGTTCATTTTGCTCTGGAATAAAGGTTTACATAAGTCGCTGAGCAATGATGAATCACACACTGAAAACAAAAGCTCTGGGAGAAGAAAAAAAAAAAGAAAAAGTCTTTTGGAGGAGAAAGGAGTTACTTTTTTTGCCAGAAATCCTACCAGTCCCATTAGAGATAATAAAACAGTAACTTACACAGCTGGCTCTCGAATAACACTAAGTACAATAAAACATTATGCAACTGTGCATGTGGTTGCTGGTCTGTAAAGAGCAGGCATATGCTGGCTTGATACCACATCTAGCCCTGATAACTTTGCATGGCCTGTTTAATTCATCACTGAGTATCAAATGCCACTGGTGCACAAGCACAAGAAGCACAATTTTCTGAATTGCGTTAGGCTGTTAGTGCAGCTATTGCCTGCTCCCCGCTTTCCCAAGCGCTTTGTTTAGCTGTTAAGTGTCCAACAGATGAAGCAGATAGAGCACGGCAGCAGCTGTCTGACCTGGGGATCTGAATGGGCTCAGTACCGCGGGGTCAGTCTGCCTGACTAGTCAGAGGAGTACTCCTTATCAACGTGCTTCTCTACTGTGTTCGTTTTTTCAAATGGCTGAGCACAGTCCCTCTTTTTTGCACACAGGCAGAGCTGTATACACCTAGATATGACTTCTGCCTCGAGATTTGGCCACAGTGCTGCAGAAGAGCACAGACTTGAGCTCTCAAGGCTTACAGTGGATTGAGTGATCTAGTACCTCTCATTAAACGGGTGATGCAAGCCAGGGAAGAAAAAAACAAATAAATAAAGACAGCAAGCTTTGTCTAGTGGTGTTGCAAATACTGTCCTTTCTCTTGAATTCTGATGGTGGGCTGATCTGTGTGATGCTTGCAGTTATTTTGCTGTTTGTTCCAGACAAAGAACTGAAAACTTCATTATTTATAAGCTTTAAATGAATCTTCTCACTGTAATACCTGAAAGCCTTGAAAATTAATACTGGGTCTACAGTGACAGCAGCACCTAAATGAAGGAAGGTAGAAATATCTGTCTCTTCTACAGCCAGGAAACTGAACCTTAGATTGTCCCTTTGGCGTACCTCACGCTGGTTGGCAGCTGCTTCGGAGAAGTCACTGGGAGGCTGACAGATGCCAGAATAGGGTGTGTACATCTCACCAGGAACTGAATCTATAGCTCCCCTTCCTTATAGAGGCATACTCATCAGATCCATTACAGTTCTTCTTGAGGAAAAAGAACACGTGTAAATGATTTATGTGGTTTTGGCTGTGCCCTCCACTTGCAGCTAAGCTCTATGCAAGCTTCTTGCATAACAGGACACAGGCAATGGCTGCTGAAGACCTGCCTATACTAGCTCCAGTGGGTTTTAAGACTGGCATAATTGGTTTGAAGTAATGGGAGATCTCTCCTCGGCTTTTACCAAAGCCTGGGTTTTATGCTTGTGACATGTCTTTTGCTGTGTGCTCAAACACTGCCTTAATTTGATTTAACTGGACACAATTCAACAAAGTAGAAAGGAATTTGAAGCTTTCCTCTTCGTGTAAAGGGCACTAGGAGCAAAGCTAACCTGCAGGAAAAATCCTTGGCACCTCTTTGAAGACAGCACCTATGACGATGTTTGTGTTCTTGTTCAAATTAACAACAAACTACAGAGAGGGGATGTATTTGCGTGATAGACATCCAGCTCAGAATATGCTAGGAATTTGTAAATAATCCCATGGACGCTTACTAATAAGACAAGAAAAGCAGAGCACAACTACAGTATCACACATTACTCCCTTTAATGTAGAAAAACACCAAGACAACAGCTACAAGAAACTGCTTTTCTTGATAAGGTCTGCTCAAAAGAGGTAAAATCTTTTAAAATAGCGACAAAGTCAGATACTCCACCTATCTAGTATATATTCAACTGTGTAACAACTCTAAAACAGGGAAAAATCACACATTATAACACTCCAAAATTTTGGATGTTGACTAAAGGTACCCTATGTGTCCTCTTTAAATACGCTGTGAGCAAGCCCTTCATACGAAATCCCCTATCATTTGTTGACAGTGTTCAGAGCAAACTGGATTCTGCCCAGGGAATTTGAAAGCAAAATAGCACTCAGCACATTAAAAGTGGCCTTGAAAAAGTATGGTCGCAGACTAGGTATTTGTAGAGGTGTCAGCATTAAGAACACGTTAAGCATTCAAAGCAATCAGAGTCCGTTTGCCAAAATTATAGCCTGGTAAAAGGTCATTGCAATTAAGATTGATACAGTTTCTTTTAGAAAAATGATAACTTTGACATACGAAGAAGTGGGACTAATAACGTAGATAATAAACAGGCTTATGACAAGTAAGGTAGGCTTGTCCTCTTACAGCGCAACGTCTGTATCAATAATCAACCAGCCCTGCTCAGCTCAATGAATCTAAATTGACAAATGACTTCTTTATAACATACTCATGAACCAAGGGTTTTGCCCAGCTTCATCCCACATGAATATCAATGCTCTTTACTAGAATATCTCTGTCATTTCTGAATTTATGAAGCTGAGAAGCATCTTAAAACAGTTTAGAACTGGATCTCATTTGTTGAAATCCGGTTCACCTGGAAACGACAGGACTGAACAATAGCTTTACACGTATCTTGCAATAAACGTTTTGCCCAAATGAGATGATGAAAATATTGCTGACTACAGCAAAACCACTTAAAAGATGATCAAAAAGGAAACAATTGTAAATGCAGCATTTTCAGCTCAACAGAGAACCAGAAAGGAATGCTGATGTTACTGAATTTCTATCTCCAGATGTCAAGAAGAGAATCAACCTGTAAATGCCAAAAATCATCTCAAAAAGGTGTTGAAAGGCAAAAGATAATATTCAAAAAATAAGCTATTCTGATGGTACAGACACCTGTCAATATGAAAAAAAAGCATAGACTACAGAATCATCTTTGTATTCTATAAAGCACTGTGTAATGCTGAGGACGAAGCCTAGGCCATGGACTGGACCACAGCACAAGATCAGATTTAGAAAAAAGCTCAGCTGTGTTAGAAGGATATAGAAAGAAGAAAAACTGAATTGAACCAAATACAGTCAAACAACCCAATGGACTTGCTTTATGGTTACAGAAACAAAACACTTCCCAGCATGGGAAACTGATTCATTTGTCTCTCAGACTGCACTTCTGTTTTCAAAGACAGTTAATCCAGTTCAAGGCAGTGTTTGCAATTTAGTTCCCATGCACATATAAATATGTTACAGCATATCTAACCACCACACTTGCTTAAAAAGCAAGTTATATACTCATGATGGACAAATGCCTCAAATATGCAGGCATGTAAATAAAATACTGGTTTTATTTCTGTGTGCATGCATGTGTGTACACAGCTGTACAGCTATGACAAAAATTGTGGCTGTGTAGTCACTGTGCTGTAATACCCCATGCTCTAACTACTACTTCATGTTGTGTATGGAACAAACTCAGCTCACATTACACTTTTCTGCTAGCACACAACTATTCATTTTTATAGCTTTCACCCTCTATAATTCAGGCTATACTTTCTAGCAACTAGAAAGGGCTGGTTTTTTTCCAGTTTGTGAGTAGGCACTGCCTCAGTATAGGGCAGGATTCAGAAGAACTTGCAGTTTTGACCCTTAACACTATCACTGACTGTGACCTTGATAATTCGACAATGTTAATAAAACTTGATGTCCTGTTCTCAAAAATTCTTATAGTATTTCTGAATGTTTTAAAACTGTAAATCCTACTTAAAAAATAGACTTTTTTATTCATCCAGGATCAAAAACTTCATCTCTCCACTTGTTTCCTCAAAATCAGGGAAATAAAACCTGCATCTTGCATCTGGTAAGAAACTTACTTAAGCGCTAGCCTGCTAAATACGTTGAGCATACCCCAAGCATTACAATTTGCTACAAAGTTTTCTTCCCCATATTGTTTTGATTAAGAATTTCCTTTATTTTACTGGAGGGTGAGAAACTCGATGCATCGACAGAACTTACACCATTACTGCTGATTTTAAGTGGACTTTATGCAATTTTTAATGAGTTGCATGATGATGTGCAGTTGTACGAAACCTTGTGAACTACTAATTTTGTTGTAAGAGTAGAATAGGAAATTCTGTATAGTATATTTATAAATTATATTTAAGATACAGTAATTTAAAGTTTACATTCCAGAAAATTAAGTATCTTTTTTTTTCAGTGTTTCTTACAGTTTTACCAGTGTTTTATTTCCCATCTATCAAAAATCACACCATTCAGAAAATGTAGCATCAAATATTACAGAAGTGAAAGCTACTAGACAGAACGTTTTCAAAACTTGTAAGAATGCTAACAATGCATTGAACTTTACTTCCAGTCAGTTGCATCGAAAAGAAGTGAAAAAAAAGTAAAAAGAAGACCTTGTGAATTCATTTCAAAACCAACAAGAAGCTCTTATTTTTCTAAAAAGCCAGAAGAATTACGAAAAACCCAACCTTAAGAAAAGACTTTTGATTCCCCAAGATATCCCCTTAAGTTTCCCTTGACAGTAGTAATTTCCCTAGGAGTTTTGACTTACCTCTTCCCTCCCCACGGCCAGTGCCTACTGGCACAAAGATACTTGTTTAACAAATTATTCTTAAAATACACAATAAGAAAAAACAAAAAAAGCCTAGCAAAACCAGGATGTATTCTGATTATGAGAAAAAGTACTAGCTTGGCTCTCTGATGTGGATGGGGAAAGAAAGTACAGTACTTGGAGGGAAGGCGCTGAGTATTGACAAATCTTACCATGGATCCAAAAAAGGTAATTAAAGCAACATGGTGCTTGAGGGGTGTTGTGTGGAAACAATCACCCCCTCTCCAAAACCCCAAACACCCCCCCCCATCCCCAACAAACAAAGGGTCCAAATAAAACAGCATTCTTGTGAAAAGACTTGCACCAACATTACTGTTCAACATCTTCTGTTAAGCGCTTGAAGTTCCTTGAGATAACACACAAGACAAAATATTACTACTGTACTGACATGTTAAAGAAATTAGCTTCTGCAAAGAAATCTGCCTATAACAGTGATTTTAAAGACCATCTTTGCACAGAGTTCTTTGTACTGTTAAAAACAAGCAGAGCTCTGGACAAACATGTACTGATCCACACTACCATGTCAAAGACTAAGACTGGATGTGGGGAAAAAAAAATTTAAAAAAAAAAATCTTAGTTCATAAGCTTTTTTCCAGGACCATAGGAAAATCCAGGCTGAAGGTGGCCGCAGGAGGTCTCTAGTCCAACCTCCCGCTCAAAGCAGGGCCAGTTTTGAGCTCAGACCAGATTTCTCCAGGCTTTATCCAGTCTTGAGAGTTCCCAAGGATGGAGACTGCACAGCCTCTCTTGGCAACCCATTCCACTGCCTGACTGTCCTTGTGGGGAGAATTTTTTTGTTAATCGCAGTCTGAACATTTTTTGTTTCAATTTATGCCACTGTCTGTTGTCTTCCTACCACACATCATTGCTGAGCCTAGCCCCTTCTCCTTGATTTTACTCTAGATTTTGGAAGGCTGCTACTATGTCACCTCAAAGCCTCCTCTTCTCCAGACTGAACAAACCCTGTTCCCTCAGCCTCCCAGTGTCAAAGTTTAAAAAAGTTCATTCCCATAGAATCATAGGTTGGAAAAGACCTCTAAGATCATCAGGTCCAATGATCCACCCAACACCACCGTGTCTACTAAACCACGTCCCGAAGTGCCACATCTACACTTCTTTTGAACACCTCCAGGGATGGGGACTCCACCACCTCCCTGGGCAGCCTGGTCCAATGTCTGACCACTCTTTCAGTAAAGAAATTTTTCCTAATATCTAATCTAAACCTCCCCTGATGCAACTTGAGGCCATTGCCTCTTGTCCTCTCGCTAGTTACCTGGGAGAAGAGACCAACACCCACTTCAATACAACCTCCTTTCAGGTAGTTGTAGAGAGCAATAAGGTCCCCTCTGAGCCTCCTCTTCTCCAGACTGAACAGCCCCAGCTTCCTCAGTAAGGGTAAGGCAAGTTCAAGCATTTATTACAGAAGTGAAACAAGTCCCAACAGTCTAAATAAAATTAAACCAGCAGACATGACTTGTGTAGCACTGGTCTCTCCAAATGCTGCTGGAAATTAATACAATCAGAACCTT